AATAGTACAACACTTAATGTCTAAATGTCCAATAAATTATTCTCTTATTCGAAATGCATCTTGTATAGACCCGCGATTGATGGTTAAAAGTCCAGTTTCTAGACAAATTCCTATTCATTTTTTTGTTTGCTGATAGGTCCTTAATTTTTTCTTTGATGGTCCTTAAAAGTCCTTAAAAGTCCTTAATTTTCATGTAAGGAAATGTGTACGAACCCTAGAAACTTTTTTCCCTTGTGTGTGGCTGTCTAAATAAGGGTGCATCTTATATGCCGTCAAATACAGTATATATATATATATATATATATATATATATATATATATTTTGTGTGTGTGTGTTAACCATAAAAACAATAAAACAATTATATATGCCACTACTCACTACTCTGCATAGGCATGGTGGCTACAAAATTTCAAGATTAACAGAAACTTATTCATACTCTTGTCTATTCAACTTTATAGTTGTCTCTATTAATTGCTGCTCAGTTGGTATAGTAATTAGTGGCACTGACTGCTATGTCAGTGGGCCTGGATTTGAATCCTGGAGAAGGCATGTATGTTTGTAAACATATCGTATCTGTGTGGCAAGAAGTCACTCAAAATACACAGTGAGCCAATATTCCTCTCGAGAAGCTGGTGGTAGGAGAAGAGATATGGAGACCTTTGGACCACCCTCCGTTATGGTCTCTCTCAAAATTGGGGTAGAACTAGTTACTGCGACAGGACTATACCGATATGACGAATGGTGAATGTTTGGTGCCCTGCCCACTTTTACTTCTACCTAACTCCACTAACCATGGTACTCAATTTAGTTAATCATTACTATAATTAAATTTATTACATTTTTAAAATATATCTAATGCAGATAATTTAAATTTCCTTATCACTGTCATTATCATGTTTCTATTATTTATTTAGTAGTGCCAGAAGTAAATATTTTTCACTTATAACAGCATTGAAATTTAAATTGTTATGAATCTGTATCTTTGTTTATAAAAAAAAAGTATAGCTTACATAAGCATATTATATCTACCATTTTGAGTAGGAAACCCTACCAAAATGTGTGTGTGCATGTGTGGCATGCCTGCATTAGTGGAGAGCTAAGTTAAGCAATTAGGGACTATGTAGCAGATGTTTCATTTGTGCACCTGCAAGCATCAAGACTGGACCATGGATAAGTGGAAGACAATTGCGTGGTCAGATGAATCACGATTTGTCATTCCTCACGTTGATAATCATGTCAGGGTACGTCATCTTCCAGGTGAACAGTTTTTCCTCCTTTGTACAGCAGATCATATATAGGCTGGTGGTGGCGGCATTATGTTTTGTGGGATATTGTCATGAGCGGCTCGAAGACCCTTAGTTGTAGAATAGACCATGAAAGCTGTGGACTGTGTGAACATAATTGCAGATCAGTTGCACCCTTGCAATAGCAAGTGTTTTCCCAACTGGAAATGAAATCTTCTAGCAGGATAATGCTGTCACAAGGTTTGAATTATGTTGGAGTGGTTCAAGGAGCATAAGGATGAATTCCAATTAATGTCCTGGCCACCTAATTCACCAGATCGTAACCCGATAGAGCACATTGGGATGTCAAAGTGGCAGCTCAGAGCTCAAGCACTGCATGTCAGAATATCTTGACTTTGCATGACCGCTGCGTAGATATTTGGTACAACCTGTCTCCAATCATCTACCAAGAACTTGTGGTAGCTGTTTTTCAGGCCAAAAGTCATGGAATGCATTATTGATTAGGTGGTCATAAAGTTTTGGCTCTTCAGTTTTTTATATATCTTCAATACAAAGATTTCATAGATAAATTTCATCAACATATTATAACAGGCAATTTAGCAATAGTTCAAAACCAACATTTAAGAATTTTAATGGAAAAAGTTACCAAATTTAGACCAGTACTAAAAATTAACAAACATCACAGTTTTAAAAGTTTCGTAAAAAATATAGACGAATTTATAGTTAAAACTAGTTTCAAATTAAATATTCCAAATTCTACCTTTATGGAATGGAAACATGCAGTATTAGAAGAATTCAAGCAAAAAATTCGAAGAATTGAATTTAATAGCCATTTACAGTGGAATATTCTCATACCTCTTTTACAGGATTTAAAACAAAAGTTCATGATTACCAAAATTGACAAAGCCAATAATAACTTTAGCATAATATGAAAATTTTTTATGTCTCATTAATTAATACTGAACTCAATAATGCCATTACTTACAAACTCACCAATCTACAAGAAAATGTTATTGCAAAAAAGCTAAAAGCATTTCATAAGAAACTGCAAATTTCACAACTATCTAACTACAATAGATTAGCAAATCTATATGCTCTCCCAAAATTTCATAAATCACCACTCAAATTTAGATTTATTGCTAATGGTACAAATAATTATAAAAAGAATATTATAGATTACATATTTGCAATTATACTTAAAAAAATTCGTAATTTAATCCAACATCTCGTTAACAAACAACACAATTATAGTTGGATTATTTATAATAATGCTCCAGTTCTCAGCAGTTTTAAAAGTTTAACAATCAAGAACATTAACTGCTATGACTTTGAAAACCTTTATACTTCTCTACCATTAGAAGAAATTTTTACTAGTTTAATGCAACTCCCAAAACTTTTTCCTGACATACTTGACATCCTTTGTATTGATAGATGGAATACTTATCTGAATTGTGCATTATTTAATAACTACATTAAATACAATAATAAGATCTTTCAGCAAGTTAGAGGAATTCCTATGGGAGCAAACATTTCTACACAAATTTGTAACCTATTTCTTTTTACATTTGAATATAAATTCCAACTCAGTTTAAATAAAAATGAATTAAAGCTATTTGCTCATACTTTTAGATACATAGATGATATTATAACCTTCAATAATAATTCTACTTTTGAGAAATTCAAAATTTACCCAAATAGTTTAACACTTAATAAAACGAATACGAATCAAGATACTATTGAATTCCTAGACCTGAAATTATTTGATAAAAGAAGGAATTTCCATTTTCCTACTATTAAACTAATTAATTGGAACTCTAATATCTCTAGAAAAGTAATAGAAAACATGTTTCATAGCCAAATTATCAGAATAAAAAATATATGTTCTGAAAATGACGATTTAAAGGAAGAAATCATAAAACTAATTAATGTACAAGTTGATAACCAAGTACCACCAAAATTTATTAATTTATATATTAAAAAGGCAGGCCTTTATAATTTTTTGGCTCTTTTGGATATGATAACATTACCTTAAACCTTAACTGGAGGATGAAGGATGTAAAAGAGTAGAGAAATTATTGTAAATTTTTATTGTAAATATTTTGTAAATATGTATATTTAATCAACACTGGATTCTTTCCTTTTACTAATAAAGGGTCAACTCTTTTCAAAAGTCTCAATTATAGCCCGAACTGAGTGAAGATTTTAATCTTCTTCTTCTAATTTTCCATACTTTAGCCAGTATTTAGTTAAGTTTTGATATACCAATTAAATCAAGTTCATTAAACTTTTAATATTTTCTTTCATCAAATTTAAGTTTTATTTAACTTCCTAAAGGAATTTTTGAGAAATTTCTGGAATTTTTAGAGGTTTTTTAAGGACTTCATATCAAAAAATTTTACTTTAAAACTTTAATATTAAAACATTTCAATTTTTCTTAATTACTTTAATTTTTTGCAATTTTCACACAAAAATATCTTTCACTTAATTTTTTAACAATTTTCACAATTTTTCAACAGAACACACATTTCAAATTACAAACAGTTTACATTTTTTTCACATACCACTTCACTTTAATTTCCTTCAAGCAAACATACATCTCTTGATTGGCTCAGTTACTTAACTCCCTAAATAATTGATATTACTACCTTTAGGATTTTTAATTTAATTTAATTTAATTAATATTAATATTTACACAAAAATTTTTACTATAACAAAGATAGATAGCAGCTTGACACTCAACTTTACCTACATAAGCGTCATCTATATAATTTGAAGAAAACACACTTACTTCTCTTTCACAACACTTTTGCAGATACCAACACTCAATAGTAGGTAAGTTAGAATTAAAACTTACTATTTACTTGCTTTAAGTATTTTTTAAAAAATTTTTTATGTAATATCTAAGTATTTCCTAAATATGAAATTATATTTTTAAATATATATTATTTTAAAAATTGTGAATTAGTTCTTTTTGTTTCTTTTTATTTTTTATTTCTTATTGGTTTATATGGATTATGTATAGTTCTTTTATAGTTTCTTTTTATTGATATGCATATTTGTGTGTAGGGGAAGTTTCTGTAGACAAGGATTTCTAAAATACATTGGTTTCTAGATTTTTTTATTATTTTATAAAAAAATAATTTTTAAAAAATTTAATTTTTTAAGAAAAAGTTTAATTCTTGACTTTACTTGCTTGTTTCTCAAAAGACTTAATTAGTATTTTCCTTTTTGAACTTTAATTCTTAAATGTTAATACTTAAATGTTAATTTCTAAGGGTACCACTTTATTGGAATTACTTTTGGTTTTGACTTTTACCCTTGCCTGCATGAATGAAGAAACACGAATTGAATGATTGGAGAGTTAGGTTTGGAGGCAACTTCCCCTTGATAAGTCTGTCTTTAAATTTGTTTAAATATATATATAGAGAGAGAGAGAGTTTCATTTTACAATCATGTGAAATTACTACAAGCACTCGCCATATTTCTGTTGTTATTAGATGTTTGAAAGTACAATATGTATCACCCTGTATTTATCTATTTCTACTACTAATTAAAATAAAAATTTGTTCTGAAACTTACAAGAATGCAAAAGCAGTAAAAAGGAATAGTGCATTCTTATTTGTTAAGATACAAAGATAAAAATTTCGTTTGATTATATATGTGAATTAATATAGTAAAATAACATTAGAGAAATTATATTTACTATGCTTAACTGTTTGAGAATTATTATACATTATTTTTAAAATTCACTGCAGGACCTCAAACAAAATCTCAGATCTGGATGAATGCAATTATTTGGAGCCTATTGGCACGCCACTGGTTTTATGCAACAGCTCACCAAGCAACCTTTACTTCAATTCAGTGGGATGCAGCTTTTCTATTAAATCATAAGGAGATCTACAGTTATACATTATCTGGAGCTCTAGTTATTCTAAATACATTTTCTTCGTACATTTTACACGGTTTAACACTGCCAGTACTTTTGATATTGTCACAGCCATCAACATTTACCAAAAAATTGCTTTATAGATTTCATATGAAATATTTATGTTGCTGGGGAGTAAAGGTGAATAATATTTTTTTTCTCTATATTATTATCTATATGCTTTATGTATGCTTTATACACTTTTATTGTAAATAAAAGTGTGTAAAGCAACATATTATTCAAGTATAAAAATCCCATTTCTTTAAATTAAAGGTGTCTAAGCTATTTTAGAGTATATGTTTTTCAAATAATTTGTGAAACTATTTTAAGGAATTAAAGATAAAATTATGTACCTATATATTATGTGCCTATAATATTAGTCAAGTTTATATATATATTTATTAAAGTAAGATTGATTATATTATCTCCTAAATTTAGTAGAATATATCTAAATGAAGTAATCCAGAAGTATAAAATTTAATCCCAAAAATAATATTTTTAAAAGAACTTGAATTTAAATCATGAAAAATAGAAATGCAAACTTTAAATATGAAAATTAATAAACCAAGTAATTATCATCATTGATTGGAAATTGGTTGACTTTTCAAGGGGAACAAACCAACCCCCATTCAATTAACAATAATTAATAAATGTGAAGGTGTTTCATCTTTTACTCAAGTAAGAATGATGATGCCAAACGGCTCATTTTAGATAAGGCTAAAATTGTAGTTGAGCTTTATTTCAATTAGCTAGATTAAAGAGATGAATTAAGTAGTTTCTTTAAGTTAATAGATTTTTTAGAAATCTTGAGATATTATAGCCAAATTAAGTAGAGTACTATAAAGAATTCATTTTGAATGTATATATATATATATTCTTTAAAATAATGAGTAATGATATAGTATGCGATCTATCACTTTTAGTTAGCTATTTATTTCTTAGATGGCCATACTAAAACTTTTTTTTTTATATTTTTTTTATTAAATTTAGACTTGTAATAGAATAGCAGGAAAAAGAAGAGATTAAAACAACGATCAGTTTTAGTTCCACCGTTAAAAAATAAATAGCTAATAGCATAAAAGCAGTAGATTGCATATTACATAATTACCAAATATTGAATGATCTCTCAATTTTTTTCCCCTAACATTTATAAGAATTGTGCTGTTGCTTGTAAAGTACTGTAACTGCTTTTGAATATTTATTGCTATATTCAAAGAATAATCTGAAACATTTTTTTATCTGCATAAATTATTGTAATAAGCTATTTCAAATTTAAAACATGCATTATTTTAGTAAAATAAACTTCTTAAATCATTGAGAATGTAACTAAAAAAACTATTTTTTAAATAATTTATTGAATAGTGGAATCTAAACCCACCGGTCTTATAATTTATAATTTAATTGCATTTTTAATAACTATATTTCCATTTTTAGTAGTTACTTGCAGGAGATCTCGTTTAATGGAAATTTTAATTGGCATACTCTATCAATGGAAAAAAAAAAGATAAATGGAAGCCATTTCCTGAATAGATATTTTGCTGTTTACTTTTTTTTACGTACAGTTTACTAAGATAACATGTTTTTATTACAAATATGACTTATTAATCGACCAGTTTAGTGTTTCAAACACTTATCCCTTGACAAGGTTTGTCTGAAGTGGTAAACAAGGGAGATTAATATTTTGTTATTCATAATTTTTCGCATTTCTATCTACTATGCTTCATGTGTTCATTTTTCACTGCAGCTTTTATGGATTTTTTAAGTTCACAATTCATTTTAACTTGTTTATAATATTGCCATACAAAAGGCTTACTTATCTTTAAACCTTTAATTTCTTCGCTACACCTTTTCCGTAGATAGGATAATCAGGAATAAATATATATATGTTCTTATTTAGAAATAAAACAACAAAAAGGCTATTTAAAAAAAAAATTGGGAGATGACTTGTTTTTGTAGTCCTTGATTCACTTTTACTTAATTTTATTCCTACACTGTTTAAGTTAGGTTACATTAATTAGCTTATATTACTATTACTTTTCATTTCATTAATGGAAGAAGAAACATTAAAATAAGAATAGATTATGTATAATTTAATAAATCTCTAATTTGCATCCAACTTAAATTAGAATATAGCATAAAATTACAAGACAAATAACAGAAATAGTCTTGCATTACAAACTGAATAAAAAAACTTGCATTTATTTGCAAGTAGAACACAACTCTCAGCAATTTAGATAACAAAAAGTATTTCCATAAATTTAGATACTTTTAAAAAATCATTTAACTGGACAGATCAGAGACTTCACAAAGGCAGATTTTTTTACCCGTAAAAATAAATTTGAATACAAATTTTCACTTGAGAGATGGATTGTTGATTATAAGAATAATAGAAAATGTTATACAGCATTTATTTGTTTTTTGCATTGGATGCTGTATACTTTTTCTAATAATGTAGCAGTCTACAAGCTCTTCAAGTACAAATCTTCTTTTTAAAGGATTTAAATTCAGACACTTTCATGATAATTTTTCGGGGCCTTCTAGTGGTATAAATATAATATTGATTTCTTTTCTTTTTAAACATGCAAATTTTGGGACACTTGCATATCTACGTTTTTTTTTAATACTAATTCTTTTTAAATAGGTGTCTATGAGGAATATTTATGCATATTTTTGAAATAAAAAGATGAAGCATTATTTTTCTTTCACCTAACATTAATTAAAAAAATTACCTATTTTTTTAAGTTCTATAAAGAATTTAACCATCATAATATAATTTCTTGTCAGCTTGACTATTTATATTTAATTTCTCTACACATATATATTGCTTTGACAGAACTATAGTAACATTGCAAAAATGTAGAAATTATATAACTTCTGATGTAATATGACAAATGCATAGTAGTACACTACAATATAAAATAAAAATACAGTTTTAGATAAAATGAAACTTATGTGCTTAAGCTAAAATTTAAAAAAATATTTCATAGCTTTAAAAAATGCTTTATTATGGCAAGTTCTAATCTAATTCATTAATGGCATTTCAATCTGAGAATAAAAAAAGTAGGCCTGCAACGCAGATGTGGCTGGATAAAATTTGTTTTGAGCAAATAATGCTTTCTGAAGTTTGTGTATTTTTTTAGAGAAGTGAATGTAAAGCGTAAGTGTTTTTCATAAATAATAAATATTTTACTTCTTTCTGAAATGTAACTATGTGATTTCTTCTTTAACTTATGGTTGTCAGTTTTTAGACTTTTATGACTTATGCAGAACCGAAGAGTATATTTTAATCTCAAAAGATGCATATACATATTTATATCTTAATTCATTGTTAATATAGAAGAAAAATGTAATGTAGAAATTGAAAATAAAATTTTTCTTTCTAGCTCATAGGAACAGTGATTGCTTCAATCATCTTGCGACGTCACTTGATGGTATGGAAGATATTTTCGCCAAAATTACTGTTTGAAGTTTTGGGAATGATCATCACTATGATTTCTTCCTTACTCAGTTGCTGTTTTATAGCTAAGGTTTCAGCTCAGTATCATAAACTCATCAGAATGAATCTTAGCCATATGTTTTCTTCTGAAGATCAATAGATTAATTGAATTATATTTTGAAATAAAGTTATTTTTAAATTATATTTTGTAATAAAAATTAGCTTAATTAATTTTTAAAAGACAGCATTAACAATAAAAATGAATTCTGCAGTTGCAGTTTTATTCCTTTGACCCCTAAAGGCTGTTTGATGCAATGTAAAAATTGTAAAATTAAAATTGTGAAATAGTTGTTTTTGAAACAATGAAGCATTTATGATGCTAAGGGAATCAAAATTTGCGAAAAAGTTCAATATTTATTTGCTTTAAGTTGTGACTTATCTCACTTGTCTGACAGTAACATCAGAATAAGCCCATGAAATTCATCATGGCAAGGAGTGCAAGATTGTATCTGTCATTGACAAGATCCTTGAGCACCATACAGGTGACAGAACATCTTATCACAGCTCTGCTCCCAATTTTGATGGAGAGCACCCCGGGAAAATGGGTCTGAGGGTCTCCCACCCCTCATTCCCTAACACCAAGCTCTTGAGGACATTCAGCTCCCCTCGTATTTAAAGTGCCTCCATGCCGCATGGATACCATACATTTGCAAACATACATGGCTTCTCCACGATTCGAATACGGGCCCTTCGGTGGGGCAGTCAGCGTTGCTAACCAATATTCCAAACAAGCGGCATTTATTTGTTTGCTTTATAAAACATTTATTTCAGTGCAAGTTGTGTTACATTACTTTACATAATTTCTTGCTTAGTTACGAAGTTCCATTGTTCAAGGTCCTATAATTGTTAGTCTCAGAATTCCCATTAAATTGCCAGTTCAAATTTTTTAGATTTCAACAAGCTCTTATCACTTTCTTTGCTATTGGTAGCGATATTTTCAGCATTTAAAACCATATTACAGATTTTGAGTATTTTTTTTTTAGCATAATTTAATGCTTAGTTAACGTCTGGCATATAGCAGGCTCAACACATGTTGTTGTTCCAAATTTTGTTTTGCCTATATCATGCATTGTGAAAGTTATTAATTGCTTGAACTGTATTAGTTATTTATTATAATTACATCTTATTTCCCACATATGCTTATCTGAGTCCCAAATGAATAAATTCACACACATACGAAAGGCTTATTTGAATAAAAATTCAGTTATTCTTAATTCGAACCACATTAAATGTCATGTTCTGGCCTATGAATATCATATACAAAATGTATTTTACGGTATTGAAAGAAATTCCTGTTAAATTTCTCCTCTTCAACACAGTGAAGTTGGCTGAAGTTTGTAATTGTTGCCAAGTGTAATGCCAACATGAAAGATTACCCTGCTGTTTGGTGTTCAGTTACCTAATGTTACACAAAAAAGTAGTGTTTTAGACATCCCTGCATGTTTCATATCTCAAACTGCCATGAGTTAACAGCTACATGGTGATGAAAGAAAATGATAAGTGATTGCTATGTTGGCATCAGGGATACAATTATTCAGTAAGTGTAAATCAGCAATGAATTTCAGTATAATGTTTTGGTTTGAGATGTATGCCAAGCAGAAAGGCAGCTCTGGAGCTAACAAATTATTGATTGTTTCAATTTAAGCTAATAAATGGGTTTTTTTTTTTTTTTTTTTTTTTTTTTCAATATGGAGACATTTCATTTAATGCCAGATTGAAATTAAGAATCAGGACCTTTCACATACTTTTTTATGAAAAAAAAATGTCTACTGTGCACTGAGTAAGCATATTCTGAAGCAAGATGCTACTTTAGAAATATAATTCTTTCTCTTTTTTTGAAAAAAAAAAAAAAAAAAATTGCTGGCTGTCCGGATTTTAGACTTTGTACTGCATATGAATTTTTATTTTGAATCTTGAATTTCTGGGGTAACTTACAGGTGTATTGCTTAAAATTATTTCTGGCCTTAAGACATAAAAATTAAAATAAGGTGGCATTTTTTCCTTCCTAAAATCTAAGTATCCTTGGAATTAAATGTTTATATGAGCTGACAGTGTATGTTAAAGGATCATGCATGAACATATATATTAAATTATTATTCACACAGAAGGATTTTTTAAAATTCATATGTAGATGCATAATGCTTAAAGAGTTAATAAAATTATTAATTTGCATCATTAATGCTATCCAATATTCAGAAATGAACTGCCTTTCTTTGGTTATCTTACACTGCACAAAAGTGTTCCATTCGTTTTAGTGAAGTGTAGAACTTAACAAGCCTTGCAGTGCCATGAAATAATACCATAATATCTGTAAATCTGATTCTAGATTTTCTTTGGAACTAACTGCCAGATCAATGTCATATGCGATTACAGTTTATCCAAAAACATCCAACATATGAAATGTGGCCTTCGAATAATCATCTATTTTCTTTGATTAATCTTACATTAAAAAGTACTTTTAAGTCAGTGCTATTTTCAAGCTGTAAATGTTATACTTGGTTGATGTTAATAAGCCTTGATTATTCTTGAAATAAAACGTTATTTCAGGTACAGTACATTAATTTGAATTTTAACTATTACATTATGGCTTCTCTCATCTAGTTTTAACTAGTAAAACTATTCAAAAATAATAAAAAAAAAATTATGAATTCCGTTTATTGAAGAAATAAATTTATACATTGTAATGACATCTGAAAAAAAGGAATTATTTTCTTTACTTTAAACATACCAGTTTTATTAATTATATATTACTAAAATTTAATAAAAAATGCAGCATATTTTTTTTTATTCAACAATGTTTTTAATGTTCATAAAAACATTCTATATAGTATTAGCTCCTTGGATTACAAAAATTACACACCAACATAAATTTATCATGTAATATGAATTATGTCAAAGCTTTGCATATTTTTGAAAGGCAAATAATGAGTGAGTGGATAAGATGCTGAACATTAATAGTTTATCCTGGATTTTTATTCCCAGCAAACAAGTTATATTGAATTTTGTCCATGCATTATACAAATACAGGCAAGTGTCCCTTACAAAGTTTTCTAAGAGGGCATTCCTTTTGTTAGGAACATCTTTCTTGTATGATTTGCCATGATCAGCTAACTAACCAATCATATTATGTTAGGCAAATGATAGCTATGAATTAATTTACTCATTAATTCATTAGAATGCTTATTATTTCTATATTCATTTATTGAATATATATTATATATCTTGCAGTTTTCAAATAATGTTTTCTTCTTAAGCAACAAACAATACTCTGAAAATATTTTCCAGATAATCATAAATGTATACATTCCTTATTTATTAAAAATAAAATTAGAAATTAAGTGTTCTAATTGGATTATATATTATCTGAATTACTGCAGATTAAGTAAGTAAATGTTTACAACTCAAAGCAAAATATTAAAAGGTTAATTTTTTTAAATAAATCTTATTTATTATACATGTAATTAAGAAACAAATATTCTTAACAGATAAAATACTAGACAAATATTTAGTAATACTTGATGAAACATTATAAAAATGGCTATATGCAGATATTTGGTAATGTTCAATGAGGTATTACAAAAATGACTTTGTATAAGTGTACAAGTTTTGATTAATCTTCACATGAAAACAAGCTTGTGGTTTTCTAGAATAGAACATATCCAATATGACTTCAGTCTATGAACTAAGAGAAAAGTGAGCAATTTATACTAAAAATGCATTGTGTAATATTTTTAGACTTCTAAATGTATTAGATGAATAAATTATTTACTCCATGATATACAATGCAATATTTTTAATTTATCATAATTTATATATATGTAAAACCCTGCATTTTTAGTATTCAAAGTCAAATTTAATAACTGATAAAAGAATTATCACAGTAGTGCACTTAAGCAATTATAAATTCCTCCCTTTAAATTTAGATCAAGCTTTATTCAAAATTTTTAGTCTCTTCTGTTAGTAACTTATGTAAATGTCTATAATGAGCAACAGATACTATAATTTTTGTTCCAGTGACACTATAAAATATCTAAAAAAAGTTGAAATAATATGCAATGTCACATAAGATTTATTAATGAGGTTAGTGTATTGTACAATCAGCCTTTGCAGTTTTCTGATTCACAAATTCCCCATATAATGTAATATAATTTTCTAAGTTTTCTCTTTTCTCCTCTATAAATATTATTTGCCAAATTTCTGCCCCCCAAGAATGCTAAAACAGATACTACTGAGAATGACTTCTGAGTATTCTTAACAAAATCTTTCCTTTATCCTTCAAAACAAAAATTCATAGCTCCATCACTTATTATCGAAAACTTATTTGGATAACTTAATACTTACTTATTGGTAACATTACAAAAAAATATTAATTAAAATTACAAAAAATATAAAATTCTTACAAAAAGATAAATTATCATGATTTCAGATAGATGCAAATCTGAAAATAAAAGAATATTTTTGACAGATTATAAGAAATGGGATTTAATTAATGCCTATTTTGTTGTAATAATATGAGAAATATAACTTACTATGCAAATTAATATTCATTTCCAAAATTTTTCCTTTTTTTTTTAATCTGCTATCTCATCCATCTTGAATAAAAATAATATTTGGCTTAATCCGAGTATTCAAATTACACATTATCTAAATTATATATTGGCATGTCACTAATTAGAATTAAGCTTGCTTTGAAAACTTGTCTACAATCTGATTTGTAGAAATTTTATTACTATTAAAATTTTCATGCTTTTCCTTTTTAGATAAATTTTGAATTCTAACAAAATTAGAAAATGTATTATTTTACAATTTTACTTTCAAATAAACCGATGTCGAAGAAGTACAACAAAGTGACAAGCATCTGAAAATAAAATTTATTTCCACTTTATGCAGTCAAAATGTGATAAATAATTTTCTATTTACAAAATAACAGAAATTTTAAAATATTTTCAGAAATGCAAATAAATAATAAATTTTTACAACATATTTAAAAAGCAAGGATCATTCGTTTGCATAATTCTTCCTTTTATATAGATATATCTTGCTTTTACTGTAAGGAACAAGTAGAGTCTGAAAATAAAATATATTTTTCGTCAATAGGGCAAGATTTTTATAACATTAAAGCTCAATAAGCAAATAATTCTCATAATAAATTTATGATTACATTTTTAACTAGAATAACTAGACATTATACATTTCATTAATTAAATATTTTCATATATAATGGTAAGATTTCTCAACATACCTATATTTTCTGTTGCTGAATTAAAATGTACACTTTCAATAGTACTATTTAACCTTGCAATTTTTCTTTGCTGTTTAAGAATTGAAATGAATGACTTCAAATCTTCAGCTTTCTTCAACCACTTATTTACCTAAATAAAAAAAAAAATTGCAGTCCATTTTTCTAAACTGAATAAATTACGTAAACATTCTAAATAACAGTTAGAAATAAAGGGCTATTATAAATGATTCATCAGGTTTCATTATACTGTACTTTGCAGCACACTGCAAATACAAAAATGAGTATCATATGAAATCATTCAAGTTTAAATCATACTATTATAAATATTCAATGTGTGTTCTTCTTGTTATATGACTGATCTTTAAAGAACAGTTATTAAACTGATTTAACCCTTCATGGTCGCTTGAACTATCCTTGAACAAACATCAGCTTCTAACTGCTAATAAGCAGGGAGAAGATTGCTTGCTTTCAGTTTTTTACATTTCATTTCAAACAGTTTTTTGCATGAACATTGAGCTGTATGTTCTATTTTATAACATAATATTTAATTATATTACACAGCAATAGTGCTTTCTAAAGCATTATATACATTAAATATAACATAATATTTAATTATATAATATAGCAAAATTATATCATACTTAAGGAAAAAATCACAATAAAATATGAACTTATTTGATTATCAGTATTTTTATTCCTTAAAATTAGTTTATGATCAACTTTATATAAAATTTTATATGCCCAATTTTGTTCAATATGATTTAAAATTACATTCATTATCAAAAAGTTCTAGAGAAGGAAAAATATTATCTTCATTCCTTTATTTATATTTTGGCCTAATGCTAGTCAGCAAAATGTAAGAATGTAATCTTTCAAATTTAATCTATGTGCTACTGATTAACAAACTAAGCTATTTAAAAGCAATAAGGTGCACTTCTTCAGAATTTTTTTTTTACAATTTTTAATCTTACTGACTTAAATTTAATGAATAAAAATTCATTAACTTCATGGATTGAAAACATTTAATATTTTTATTGAATTACGTTATACATATTAATCACTTTTCAAATATACAGAATATCTATAATGTTTCCATGTTAATCTAAATGTATTTCATCTAGTATTCTATAAAATGCTACTGCTATTTCAGCTGTGCCATCTCTATTAATAATCTCTAGTGATAAAACATACTAAATTTTAAAAGAGCTCTTTTGAGCAACTGTTAAAATTTGAACCATTAAGAACTGCATTTTAAACTTAATGCAGATAATTTTTAGACAGGTGATATTAGTTATTCAGAGTTCATTTACCGTTTCATAACATAAACACAGGCTAATTATAATGAGAAAAAGAATATAATTCAGCATTTCCAAAGAAGTCTGCAATAAGAATCCCAGTGCTCTCTTTATATATATATATATATATATACAGTCAAAAGTCTTTAATCCGGACTTGTCGGGACTTTGGCGATTCTGGATTATCGGTTTTTCCGGATTATAGATCATCAGTTTAAATCTGGTAAGATGGCATGCAGAAATTATAAAATTAAAAATATGAAACTGTAATTTATGAAATAAAGAGCAATTATGATCTAAAGGGTATAAAAATTTATTAAAAAAAGCTTAATATTCATTTGTTTACTTTATTAAACATTTCTTTCAATGCGCGCATGCGTAAACCATACATTACACATAGTCAAAATTAGAAAATTGCAACCAGAAAAGTATTCGATGTGTATTTGTGATATTTATAATGACGAGGAATTTGATTTAAATCATATCAAAGAAGAGTACATCGAGATGAAATACTACATTTAATAAGGAATTATAAGCTGAATAAAATAAAAAATCTGCCCTGGAAGATAAGGATAATGCTGACAGATCAACTTCCAGTTCATTGCACTTCACAATGTTTCCCTCCCCTCGCAGAGCAGCGTGAAATTGATAAACAGATTTTGGAATGGTTAGAAAAACAAAGGATATGCCTTTATCCATTTTTTGCAGTGATTCCACTTTTTGTTTGATGGACATCGAAACATGCTTTCGCTTTGTAGATCCTTTGGCAGCTCCAGAATCGGAAATTCTTTTTGACATAATCGAAAGTTCAAGCTTACTTTTATAAAATTGCTCTAACAGTCTGCAAAAAAATAATAAGCCGGATCCAATTATAAGATTAAGGAACAATGCAATCTGCAACATTAACTGAAATAGATAATTAGATAATTTTAGCTTAGCTTATACCGTCCGTTATACATTAAACGCATATGCGCATGCGTAAAGGTATTATGCACATGCGCAGAAAGTTTGTAGCTTTGAAGTCTGGATTATCGATCACTCCAGACTATGGACGTCCGGATAAAAGACTTTTGACTTTATATATAAATTTTGTAGAATTACAAGGTTCTGAAATAAACTTAAGGATTTGAAGATAGTGTAGATATATAGGATGACAGAACACAGAAGAAAACGTTTGCACTTTGAAAGGAGAGAGCATACTGTATTAAATAATTGTGTGTTTAAAATAATTTAGTACAATATTAAATAATCTAAGCAAAGCTGCACAAAAAATACCTCTGCATATAAGATATCTTTCCTTGGTCCAGGTTGTTGTTCTGAAATAAAAAAATAATAATTAATTTGATATTTTGGACAGAAATAGTGATTAATGGTTGTTAATTATTACAGCTTTATCATTATTCTTCACAAATAGTACTAATAAATACATTTTTCTTTGGATATTTATTTGTGGTATGCATAATACTCACTAGAAACTGCTGGAACCAATATTTCAAGAGCTGACTGATATAAATGAACAGCATCATCATAGCAACCATCTTGAACCTATTTAAGCATAAATAGCTACATAAACGTAAGGAAATCATGGTAATGAAATATTTAAAAAGCTTACAAGATAATATTAGATGACTTCTTATGTGCAATTTAATTAACACTTTTCACCTGATGAGGAAAACATGCTTTTTTCCTTGCAGTAAAATACTCATAAATACTGCAATAAAAAAAAATCTTGAAACTGATATTAAAATTTACTATTTTTATATTAAGTCATTTCATTATAACCACCTATAAAATCAAAGAATGATTGCTTTTATGAAACTTTCTAAGAATGATCTCGTATACATCCTTTAGTGATTTGAATCACAACTTTATTTATGCATCACAGACAGGATTAGGTAAAATACATATTACCGAATATATAATTTCAGCATTTCAAGTAAGCTGTTCAATTATCATATTCTAATTTACAATCCCCTTAAAACTTGACTGATAAAAAATTTAAAGAGCAAATTTTGGTGTGTTTCTGTCACACACTAGAAAGACATTTTAAACTGGAAAAAAGGAGAAAGGAATACATATGTAGATAACTCTGAAATGTTCTAGACAAGAGCAGACAATGTGCATTAAAAGAAAATTATACATTAAATATGTAAATTTAAATTCCTTCATCATGTCCAGATGATTGCAATTTTATCTATCACAGAATAAATTCTGAAGAAAAGGATAGTGGAGCTGATATAAGAGCATTATTGTTCTATGATTTTAAAGTGGGGCTGAAACATGAATAATGCTTTCAATGTCTACAATTAGTATATGAAATGAAGCTCCATTTTCTGCCACTGTATTCAGTGTTTTTTTTTTTTTTTTTTTTTTTTTTTTTTTTTTTGAATTTCATAGAAGGTAAAATTCTATCCTGGATGAACACACAGGAAGACATTTCTCAGCTACAGTCTCAGAAAATGTGTCGGTTTAAAGAAAAATGTTAATGACAACAGTGGTACTTATCAAATAATACAGAAGGAACCTAACACCGGATATGCAGATATAAATAAAATTATTCTTAAAAAACTCCATATGAAAAAATATAGTTCACTGTTTATGTTGGTATGCAGTGATGAACAGCCGCCAATAAGATGATAAACAACGTAATCTAGATGCGCTATGGAAAAAGTTAACTGAGTGACTCGCTGGTCTTTCGAGAAGACAAGGTAAGAAAAATTATTCTTTTCCTTACTTTGGTAATTTGTTGTAGAAATATTTACAACAAAAGATTATAAGACTGAATAGAAAATTCATACTTTAAATTTAAAAAAAAAAAAAAAAAACTGCAAAGGCTAGACTGTAGTTTCATATCAAAACCGAAAAATAAATTTTTTAACGATACAACAAATGTTGCATTCAAGTCAGATGCAAATAGTAAAATTGAATTCTAGGAATTATTCAGCATGGAAATTCAAATGCTGCTAATAAAGGAGGATCTTTACGAAGGTAAACGAATGTACCTCCAAGCCCTATTACAGAATAATGGAATAAATGCGATTGGCAATGATAAATTTATTTATCGAAGACAGCCAGATAATTAATATTAAATATGAAACTACTTGCTAAAGCCACCTGGGAGAAACTCAGGCAGGTAAACGGAAGGTTTAGTCTCTCACATAAACCAACCATTTTTTTTAAAGAAAGCTTTACAGTTTGAAGCTTGAGGAAAACGAAAATATGCAACCTCGTATAAACACCTTACCGAAATTATTCAATAAGCTTGACGCAATAGGTGAGAACATAAAGGATAATCATATTTCAGTACTTTTGCTTTGTCCAATGCCTAATTCTTATAATATGCTGATAACTGCTCTTGAAGCTTAACCACAGAGTTCATAAAAGGAAAATTAATCAACGAATTCAATAAGACAGTTGAAAATAATTCATTACATTCAAAGGCATTTAAAGCTTCATTTCAAAATAAAACAAAGAGAGAAAAATTCTGCTCGTACCATCACAAAAATAATCATTTTAGATCACAGTGTTTTCATCTAAAATCAAAACAAAATGTTGAATTATGTGAAAACTTGAAGAAAACCTACACGGATTCTAAAAATCACCAAGCAAAAAATGCATGAAACCTCGCGATGAATCAAAATGAAACAAAAAATAAAACACCAAAAATCTCTACTGACGTTATACATCAATCAGCAGAGAGTTTTGTTCAGTGGTAATCACTTGGTAAATGATAAGAAATATTTCACAGTCTGAACCCATAAATCCTTCAGACATCTTAAATGTGAATGGGCAAAGCCTTAAATCAACGGGGATAGAAACTGTTTTAAAACACCAAATGCTAGACAGAAAATGACTGAAATTCTCTTATCAGAAGTTTTATATGTTCCTGGATTAGAAACAAATTTAATTTCAATTAAGAAAATAATGGAAAAGGGACTGTCAGTTCTGTTGGAAGAAAACAATGTACGATCATGAAAAAGACTCAGTCAACTAACAATCTTTACCAAATTAAACCAATCAACAGAAATAATTACACATCAGTTAACTTACTGCAAAAATAAGTTAACAAAATTTTAGTGCAAAAATGAAAACTGTTTTCAACTTTGCATAGACGTCTTAGTCTCAGAAACGATGATGCTATCAAACAACTTATAAACAAACAAAGAACTCGCCGACGGAATTAGACTAGATACTGTAAACATGATACCAAATGCATTCAGTGCATAAAATGTAAACTGATTTCCCGTATCCCAAAAAATCGAAATTCAGAGCATCTAAACCACTTGAACTCATTTACACTGATGTTTTAGGACCAATACAAACACCATCCCTTAGTGGTTAACTATACTTAGTAACTTTTATTGATGATTACAGTAAGTTTACAATGATTTACCTAATGAAAAGGAAAAATGAAGTAATTTCTAAACTAAAACAATTTATTGCTCTTACAAACAATAAATTTGGAAGAAAAGTAAAGACACTAAGAAATGATAATGAATACAAAAGTAAACAACTTGAGAGAATATCTCATAAAACATGGCATAAATCACGAGCTAACTGTACTACATTGTCCAGCACAAAACAGAGTTAGTGAACGCAAAAGTAGATCTTAAATAGAAATTATTAGATGTCTTTTAACCGATTCAGGTCAACTATACAAATACTGGACAGAAGCAGTGCTGACTGCAAATTATCTACAAAATCGATGCCTACAAAACCCAATGCGAAAACACCATATGAATTGTGGAATAACAAGAAGCCCAACTTCTCTCATCTCAGGACATTTGGGTGCAAGGCTTTTCCTTACATCCATAAATCTAAAAGGGGTAAACTGGGTGATATTGCTATAGAAGGCATACTCATCAGCTATAACAGCAAAAGTAAAGGCCACAAAATTTTAATTCCTGGAGACAAAATCATAATAAATCGATCTGTTCGATTTATTAAAGATACTGGAGCTAGTGAGCCTGTAAGCGTTCTTTCAACTAAGCGAAACAAGATCCTAAGGAAGAAAGCTCAACAAGAGGAGATAAAAACTGAAGAGCTTGAGAAAGAAGAAATATCAAAATCCGCCGGAAAATGTTTAGAACTCAGAAAATTGAATAGAAAAACAAAAGGTAAACCTCCCGATCACTACGGATACCATGCAAAATACCCAGTCCGCCACAAACCCAAAACCTGAAAGGAAATTCAAACTTTGGAAGAAAATGAAAAAGAAAATGGCTGACAGCTGTTCAAGAAGGAATCAATTCACTAGAACAACACTTGGACATTACTGACTTACCAAAAGAAAGAAAACCAATAGGCTGTAACTAGACTTTCAAAACGAAGCTCAATGCAAAAGGGAAAACTGAAAGATACAAAGCCAGATTAGTCGCAAAAGGATTTAGCCAGAAGTTTGGATCTGACTGTGATAAAACCTTTGCTCCTATTGTAAAGCATACAACTCTACAGACTTTTCAATGTGCAGCTTTGTATAAAAACGTCTTTCAGACATATCGATGTCAAAACAGCTTTCTTTTATGGCGAACTAGAAGGAGAAATTTACATGACTCAACCTGAACAATATGCAAAAGCTGGAAATGAAAATAAAGTTTGCAAGTTGAAGAAATCTATATATGGACTAAAACCATTAGCAGATACATGTTCAAACTAGGAAGCAACAGCATTTCATGGAGCAGCAAAAGACATAACTGCACTGAATTATCTTCAACTGAAGCAGAGTATGTTGCAGCAGCTAATACAGCTCAAGAAGCACAACATCTCTTAAATTTATTTGAAGAGTTAGGGCTAAAACAAAATCTACTGATTACTCTCTATGAAGATAAAAAGTCATGCATCAAATTTTCACAGAGGAAAATATGTCCAGAACAAAACATATAGATCAAATACCACTACTTGCACGAACTTCAACAAAATGACATCCTAAGCCTAAACGACTGCAGAAGCTCCAACACGATCGCAGACCAGCTCACTAAACCGCTAGGCAAGCCTGTGTTCAAGAATCGCTGCAAATGGTGATGCCGTCCATCAAGTAGAAGTGTTAGTATGCAATTATGAAGAGATGCCAACAAGGCAATAAACAATGTAATCTAGGTGCGCTATCGAAAAAGTTAACCGAGTGACTTGCTTTCTCTTCTCACTCCTTCATTTAAGGAGAGTGTCCTTACATGAAGGAGTGAGAAGTCCAACTAATTAGTGAACATTCTTTTGATATATGTTATGAAAATTCTAATAAATCTTATTCAATTATTATTATATGTAAAATAAATGTGCTTTTCATGTATAACCTCAATTTATGGATTATGGATTAACTATAATGATGCTCGGTGCTCTAATTTGTTGTAGAAATATTTACAACAGTTCAATCTCCATAATTAACAGAACACCGGAGTGCAGAGAGTGTAAGAATCAGTAAAGAAACCCTAAAAGATCGTAGACATCACATTATTTATAAAATCACAACTGGTGACGAAGTGTACATATCTGTTTTTTAACATTCCAACACGTCAAGAAAGACAAGTATGGGCCTTTGAAGATGACCT